ATCAAAGAAAATCTGGATATACTCCGAAGTAACGTAAAAAGGATAATCGGGATCATTGTTGGGTTGTTAAAGGATCGGGTAACAGTCGATAACTCGCCAGCCAGTAAGAGGGCTAGGATCAAAAAATTTACCGAAGAATAACGGGTAGATAGATTTCCCGCTTCACATGTACTTGTAATTTATTTTTCGTTAATAAAGAAATGAATCGAAATTTAGTGCTCGTGATCGTGATTCGTTCACAATATTTGTAGTACATGAGACCTAATCAGAGATCGTTTCACCAAAACTCGGGTTATGAGTAATCAAAATCACGTGTGAAAGATTCCCAATTCATTAGCTGATAGTTAGTTCATTAACCGTAATATTTTGCCCAACATGAATGTTGTTTTGCGTTCGAATTCATAATGAAGCTACGAATTAGTTACTTAGGATTTCGACACAGATGTCCGGCTTGCGTCGAGTCATAATTGGATTAATTTTCGTTGGTTATTGTGATCGACACATGAGCGACAATTTTCGCGTTCGCTAATGTTACACAAATCCACCAAAAAAATCATATATAACTTAAAATGTCCACTATTTTATTCTGTCTTGTCAAAGGAAACACATCCACGAACGCTTTCTCTGTTAAAATAAATAGGGATGAGCCTATTAGTGAGCTCAAGGAGGCTATCAAAGCGAAAAAGCAGAATGATTTCGCTGGTGTTGACGCCGACAAACTCAAGTTATGGAAGGTGGAAATCACAGCCGATCGCGATGACCTTATTCAAGGACAGCCTCAACTTTTACAAGATAACGACCAGTTAAAGGCAACAGACTATATCGATGATTACTGGACTGCCACCCCAAAAAGAAGGCACATCCATGTAATCATCAAGTTGCCACGTAAGTACTAAGCACCATATGCAAATTTTTTCGTATCCGTAATATTTACTCCAGACACGTCTATTTTCTAGTTCTCACTCTCGAAGAGGCATTGTCGTATGTTACGCCACCTATTTACTATGCTTCGAACGCTTCTAGCTCAACGACGTCTACTAACGCGGGTGGTGATTCCCCGATAGAAGTGGCGCTTTGGGAATCCTTTTTCGACGACGTGAATGGCTTTACTTTCGATTCTATCGATCCAAAACCGAAATTTGAAAAACCGCAATTTAACAATAGTTATGTGAATGTGCGCTACGAAGAGGGTGTTCGCTCCGCTTTTGAGGTCAATATTTGTCAGGTATTAAATAAGCTCATGGGGCCAGATTACGAATTTTCCAGATGGCAAGATGGTAGTCCAGGCATACCAAACTTTAATTGTCACTACACCATACAACTGATATTGTGTATTGAGAATAAAAGAGGACTCGTTTTAAGAGAGATTAGCGGAAGAACCTTTTCAGAATTTTACGAATCGAGTTCAAAAGCAAAGATGGTGATTCAGCAGATTTATAACTATATGTGTAACAGGCAACTTCAATACGGTGTCCTCTCTACCTATGAAGATCATTGGTTTTTGCGTCGACCGCCTGAGACCCCATCAAAGCTTTTTGTTTCATCAACTCTTTCATCGCAGTCGGAATCTCCAACGGTACTCAAAGCTTATGCATATATAGCTAAGCAAGCAAGAGCTAGCCTTCCTTCTCCCCATCCTAATGTAATTACGGTGCCAGACGGTGAAGGTTCGGACGCTACGATGCAAAATACACGGATTACTCGATCAATGGTTCGAAAAAAAGAGGACTCAACTCAGGGATCATCTTCCAACGACTCGGCAAATCAGCCAAATCAGCAGAACCTTGGCTTTGCGGACTTCGAGTTTAAGAGCTTGTTAGGCGAAGGACGAAGTGGAAAGACACTACTCTGCGAATTCCGCGGAGAAAAAATTGCCTTGAAGACTGTGGATCTATACAAAGCCTCACCAGATATCTTGAAAGAAATGCAGAAAGAAGTCAAAATCTATAAAGATCTCAAAGACATTCAAGGGAAATACATTCCAAAATTGGTATGTTATGGCTACTATGAAGGTGGATGGTGCTATGTCATTGGTACAACTCTTGTTGGTACGCACTTAAGTAATGATAAGAAGATAACGACACAGCAAAGGTCTAAGGCTCTTAAGGCACTAAAAGAAATTCACAAACGCGGTGTACTCCACAATGACATCCGGGAGGAGAATATTTTACTTGGTAGTGCGGGTCGTATGTATCTGATCGACTTTGGGATGGCGGATCGACCTGATCCAAAGAAAAAGAGGAAGTTGTTTGAGGGAGAGAAACTTGAATTGTCTCGTTTGTTAGACTGTTATGCTGTGTAAGAATTCCTTGTACCATCAATTTATATTATGTATTTCCTGCATTTCCTGCATCAAAATAGCAAACATTTATTCTGTAATAAAACTCGATGAGAATCGTGGGGTCCAGTTTCACATGACTTAAAAAATAAATTATCACAGTGCGCCGGAATCAGATGATTATTTCATTTTATCTCTACCCACCCTGATAATAAATACAAGGCAAGAAATCGTATTTACAATGATGGCCTTTCTAGGACAATTTGCGTAAGAAGACCCAGAAGGCCAGAGTTATATATACATTATTTGGAAAAATAGGCTTGAAAAAGATCAAACGGATTCATGCCTATAGTGCAGATTCGATTTCTCAGCTGAATAGTACCCAAATTAAAAGTATCATAGATCATTTTTGCACTTCTACGTAACACATCTTGCTTGTCATATGACATCGTGGACTAAATGTCCTGATATCGCAAAATAAGTGATCATCGTGATTCTTGATATATAAATATATAATCACGATCGCGTGTCAGTCACAACTATATTTTTCTCGGCAAAAGTGAATTGGCGTTCTGTTTCGGTAATTTTTAAACTCGATAATTTAAATAAATCTGCACCTTATATAAAAGTTGTTAACAAAACATGTCATCAGAGCTTGAATCTCAATCTGCTCAATCCAAAATCGATTCGTTGCAAGAATTAAATTCTCAACTTATTGCCACGATTGCTGAGCTGAGAAAGGAGAATGCCGAGATCAAAGCCGAGAATACAAAATTGAAACAAGCCATAGAAGAAAATGCTGAGCTCAAGACCAGATTCGAGGAGTTAGAAAAGAAAAATAAAACAGATACCGGTAATCTCATTGCTGAAAATGTTGAGCTTAGAGACAGGGTTACGAAATTGGAACAGAAGCAGACACAAAATGATACCGTACACGTATTAGAAGATTCTATTCTCCACAAAGCATCATCTGATATTTTTTCCAATATTCATACATACTCGTCCGAGCCTAAATCATCAGAAAATAAAGAGATCGATGAGTTTCTAGATTTTAAAAGTAAGGAAAGAGTTAGTAGTGAGATAAAACAACGCAATAGGGAGAAGAAGCTTCGAGATCAAGACCTATCTTTGGTTAGCCATAAGAAAAAGGGAACAGATAAACTCCGGCAAGAATTATTCAATACTTCTTTAGAGCCAAGTTCGCAAGATCACTCTATATCAAAAAATATTAAACTAGGACAGATCAAAATTTCTGAGACGGCCTGTCCCGAAAAATTTGAGGGCATGGATGGTTCTGCGAAGTGTATTGTTAATTCATTCGACATTAATGAGATATCACAACATTTAGCTCAGTTATGCGATACAGTCATAGGCACAGAAGATCGAGTTTCGAAGGCTAATCAGGAAGAAATCATATGCTGGTCTCTTTATGGTAGGGATTTTGAATTTCAAGTTCGTGAGATGAGTAGTAAAAATAAAATTGGCGAGAAAAAAGCAAGAATCTTAATTTATAATGAAATTGAAAATTAATTCTGTATTCTTTGTAAAAAATGATCACAAGATTTGAATTTACAAATTCCAAATATATCACGAGATACCTTACGCAAAAAAACTCAAAGAGCTGTAAAAATTTATAAGTTATTTGAAAAGATAGGTTTAGATAAAATTAAACGTATTAAGAACTATAATGCAAATTCTATCTCGGAACTTACTAACGATCAAATTCAAGAGATTATTAATTATGGTTTAGAGAACCAAATCTCTAATTATCCTTCGCTTGAAATCACACCTGAAGTATCTTCTGAAGATAATATAATTGAAATTTCCGGGACGGCCTATCTCGAAGAATCCAAGAATCTGATCCATGACCATGATTATTTTCGTAATAAAATATTAGATCAATACCCTGATATATATAGAGAATTTAGTAGTAAAAAATTTGATTATTATGAAATTATTGATAAGTCATTATGTCCAGCATGTAAATTAAGTCATAAGGATGGGAAAAGTATAAGAGGTAGATATAAAGCTGAATCTTATTTTATTAAATGTGGGCAACAAAAAATTGAAATAACTGCGTAAGTAAATAATTACATAAACCTGGTTAAGTGGATAATGATATTTTTTTTCTTTTCAGCTATGTGATTTTGAATTGACTTGTATTAATATAAAACGATAACATGTCTTCTGATACTATCTCCAGCAAGATATTAACTGATGACTATTGCAAATGGCATGCTAATTTAGTTGATTTACCAAGTTCTCAGACAGATAAAATTTGTTCTAGATTATATAAAGCATATATGGAAGAGATTGAACTCAATCCTTGGATAAAGTCTGAAACTTCTGAATCTTCACAAAGCGAAAATGCTGATAATCATATTCTATAGGACAGTTCATTGAAAACTCAGATAAGGATACCGCAAATGAATGTTCTACCTATATCACCTAAACGACAATTTCCAATTTCTGTTCTACCAAACAATCCTGAAGAAAGACAACAACATGTTATTAAAATGATATTAGAGCGATTTCCTTATTTAACTCTAAAACATAATTTTAAATATAGTAATTATTTTGATTTTAATAGATCAGTACTCTGTCCTATATGTAATAAAATCATAATAAAGAAAATATTAGAAATTATATAGAGAGTTTTTGGGACAGTGATAAATATTGTAACGAAAAAACTTATTGTCTCAATTGTTATATAAATAAATATCAAAATTCAATCCAAATAGTATCTATAAAGTCCTGTAAAAAAAAAAATAAAAGACAAAAATCTGGAAAAAATCTGGTTTTTTAGTTCCGGAAAATCACAGATTTTGTTAACAAATTTCCGGATTAAAATCTGATAAAAATCTGCTTAAAAATGAAAAAAATAGAGAAAATAAAAAAAATTATCCAGTAACTTTGGAACGCGATATCTCGCGAACCACAGCTTCAATCTAGACGAAAATATCACCATTCGATTTGTCTAGTCTTGACAAATCGAATGATGGTATTTTCGTCCGGATTGGATTCGTGGTTCGCAAGATATCACATCCCAAAGTTACTGGATATTTTTTTTATTTTCCCCATTTTTTTAAAAATGGATTAATATCTTATCAC